GGATAAAAGACGAGAAGAAATAGCCCAAACTTCTGTGGTCAAACATCCATTCATACCTGATGGACACACCAAGCCCCACCCCCTGGAGAGCCTGAAATCCTACCAGACACTGACAGGCCACATGCATAGTGCAACAGCAATAGTTGTGTAATCTGGAACCCGGTTTTATCTCAAGGTTGAAGGAGTCTTTATTATCCTAGAGGGGGGAATTTATTTTACAGCAGCAGTACACAACATGTACACAGACAATATACACAACAGTACACATAACAGTAAGAATGAATAGGTGCACTACAGATTAGAGTGGTACGTTTAAAATGCCAACGTCTGCCGGAATAATATACATGGCAGTTTACGAAGAAAAGAAGAAAGAAAATGATCACAGAGAGGATTGAAAAACATGGAAGACTTCACCGTTCCTACCACAATAATGAATCAACATGCTTATATCAAGTATTAAATGTGTGCTGACTACTAATTGCGAGGGTTTAGTTTTCTGCACTAGATTTGTTTGAGTTGAGTTGTTGAGGAAAGAGCCAGTTCTGTGGATAAATAACATTATATCATGTCTGTATTCACCTCCATTCTTCACATTCAACACTTCAAAGAGCAGCAGTCGTACCAAGAAGTAGAGTTACTATTAAAATTTCATATGAGACGCTCTATAGGACATACCCAAAGGCAGCAGATACTAATAAGACGGAAGGGTTTTGTAAACAGGCTTTTCAAAGCATCAAAGGAGGTGTCAAAATACAAAAAGCATAATGTGCACTCTTATGATGCAGAGGTTAGTGGTTCAATACCCTCTTTGGCTAAGTGCATGATTTTGTTGTCCATGGGCAAGTAAATTTCCCATTCACTTTTCAAAATATATTCAAATAAATTGTATATTAAAGAGAACTGTAATTTTATTTTCACATCTACTCACAACCTCATTATTAGTTGAGCAAGTCTCTGTTAAATTTGTATATTTTTTATGTGTATGGGAAAAATGAATGAGGTATTTACTCCTACTTCTATTTGTTTGTTTGCGTATTTATTAAGATCCCCATTCGCTTCTGAAACATCAGCAGCAAGTTCATTACATACATACATACATATTGTATAATTATTATATACTTATTATACACATTATTATACATTATACACATACTGTGTGTGAGAAGTTTATGTATTATACTAGAATACATAAACTTCTCACACACAGACACACACACACACACGCACACACACACACACACACACACACACAATAACAAGACATGAAAGCTAAATGTATATGAAATCCATGAAGTAGTCAACTTTATATTTTACAATGATTCTATCTGTCTTAAAACCCCTCACCACACACTTTTTACACTTTTCTCACACAGGACAGTTGCATCCTTCTTCAAACTTATTGCAACTGTTGTCCTTATGTTATTTTTCTCTTTCTTTATGTAACAAACCGAAGATTCATTTATTCAGTAATGGGGCCCTACAGCGCAGAGTCCTGCATGGGTCCATTTTTGGAGACCCGCAGTACAACTCTGCACCCGCACAGTACAGCACTGCACAAGCGCAATACGTACAGCACCGCACCTGCGCAGTACAGGAACGCACCCGCCCATTAACCCGAGATGATATCAAACTTTTGCGCTGCCTACGCCACGGACTGAACCAAGACTAAACCAGGTCTAACCCAGGACTAATCTAGGACTGATTCCAGGACGGAAGAGGAAGAATAAACCAGGATTGAACTAGGACTTAAACGGGAGTAAACCAGGACTAAACCAGAACTGAAACAGGACTCACTGTCAGGACAGGCTCGGAGGTGACGGCAGGAGAAAAGACCCGCGCAGAGCTCCACACCTCACAGAGGTAAACACGGCAATTGCCCAATCCTGCCTTAGATTAGTCCTGGTTTAGACCTGGTTTAGTCCTGACCCACCCGTGTGTAATTACTACCCGCCCGTAATACACAATACGCATACACTGTAAAAAAAAAAGTCATGCGAAATTGCACACAAAAAAAATCTGCAAAACCACAAAAGGTGAACTACAGTATAGCGAGGGACGACTGTATATCTGTATAGGTTTATATATTTCCCAACTAGCCTATTTTACTGCAGCGTTCCATCACATTAGTAGATTCTTATAATGCGATTCTCTCCATGATTAAGTGAGTTCCTGTTACATCAGCCCAAACCTGCCTGTCACGTTAGCTCTCATCTGGGACCACATCTCCTTCTTTCTATTCTTCCTCTTTTGCTCTCTCTCTGTCTTCCTTCTATCTCTCTCTCCCCCTCTCTCTCCTCTCCTCCCTTTATTCCCCCGAGTCTGCTCCCCTGTATTCGGATTTGTCTTTGTCTCCGTGCCACCTCATTATCGCTCCAGGTTCAAGGAGATCTCTGGCTCATTTGCATTGGAAAGCCCCCTCAGCTCTACCCCCACTCTTTGCCGTACACTTTGGGTCATTCAAATCCTGCCTATTTGGTCCTAAGTTAGATTAAACCCAATCAATCACGGCCTCGATCACCTTAACCCGCAACAGAGAGGAGAATGGAAACATCGAAATATGTTTTACAATACAATGTTTTTTTTTATAGCTGCGCCATGGCAACACGCGATCCTGGATGTTTCACTTATTAGATCGTGAGAAAGCGAAGGGGGTGTCCACCGCTGTGAGCATGGAAATTCAAATAAAGATGAGCTTTACCTGGTGCGCTATAAAAAGTGTCATTTGTCATTGTGGAAGATGGAGATGGAAACACGGGCGAGGGAGGAGAGAAATGCAGAAATAAATTTAGGGAAAATGAGTCAAAGCTGTTTTGTTTTAAACATTGACAGTCAGGTTGTGAATTGACACGTTATTGGAAATGCTTCTTTATGTTTTAAAAGCTTATACATTTCTCCAGGCATTCTTGTTCTGACCATTTTAGTACTCAAAATAGAATTGCAGAATTTTTATTAAAGGTCCTGTATTATACAAAATGGACTCTTGTGAGCTTTAGGCCATGTTAGAATGTTGTTACCTCCTCAAAAACAGACCTGGAGTTGTGTTTTATTTCATTCACACATGTTTGAGTGATCTTACATTATTACTCTGCCTACATCTCCAAAGCTCAAAATGTTCTGTTCCACCTTGTGATGTCATGAAGCAGTAGTTTTTTATCTTAAGTGCTGCTTTTTACCTTTATGTAAACCTTATACCTTACCTTATATAATGAAATGGCCATTCACTCGGAACTGTCTATGTTTTATGTTTGTATGTCAATTTACTATTTTCCTATTTTCTGTAATATATGGTACCAAACCAAAAGCAACTCTCAGTCTCCTGTCACTCCCTCCTAGAGCCGAATACTAGTCTTCTCAGCACTAGCCCATATTAATATATTACTACTCTATTACCCTATCACTACCATGTCTAATTATACTTAAACTATATACTGTGACACAGGTGTTAAATTTACTTCGGTAGAGACTGGCAATTCTAGAGCCAAAAATGATCCAAATGATCCAAAATCTAGTGAAGGTGTATGGAGTTTAGAAACACAGTAGAGAATTTCCTATATTACCACATGACATCACAGGGTGTTTTCTGGTTGAGAGGCCTAATTATGCAGGATTTGTGTGTCAAACATTTGCGAAAGAATGAAACACAACTCCAGGTATGTTGAGGAGGAAACAACATTTTAACATAGATCAGAAAATAGTGTAATATGGGCCCTTTAAGAGATTGACAGTCAGGTTGTGAACTGACTCCCTATTGGTTCATATCACTTTGTATATATATAAATCCCTCATCTAAATTTAGACTACAGTTAGAATATTAGAAAGACTGGAATCCATATTCAACAAAATATACCAAAAATAAAACGAGGGTTCAGAAAATGCTTCTTTGTGTTTTAGTCTAGATAAATTTCACTGGCATTCTTTTTGTGACCATTTTAGCACTCAAAATAGAATTCTCTTTCCTGTATGTCATTGCTATTCTGATTCATCAGCCGGTTTCACTTCGTACAAACCGTCTGACCTCGCCGTATTAGAATTCGTTCAATCGACGGTAGGCGAGTACTTTTTTTTTATTTAACCAATCGCTGCTATTTGGTTGTGACATATGTAATGCACCGCTAACGGGGCTAATTGGTATATTAAGCTTTTCTCAAATTCTGTAGGAATTAGGGCAATAACGTCGTTCCTCTTGATAAAAGTCACCAAACATTCTCTTTGTTCCATCTTTAAATCCTCGATCTCGGGAATCATTGCCAACACAGAATGTATGGCTCTTCGCTGATTGACTGGTGCCTGGACTCGCACTTCTGGGGTTCTTGCAAACCGTCTAGTGTATTCCGATTCCTGACCTAGTCGCCGGAGAGAAATGAAATTGAGTGGAGGCACTAGGTGGTGCCGGCCTGGCTATGTCATTGCACCTTGTTCATTTATTTTTCCAGAACTTACTTGCCTGTTGTTTGATAGATAGTTGCTGTTAGTTGTTAATACCTGATAGAGAAAGTCACTCACTGACAGCTCAGTCCTTGATATCCTGGTCTACGCCATCAGAAGTATAATACTCACTACAACAGAATCATCGCCAGACTGGACTGGACTAGATTGGAATGGACATCACTATCACACTGACACTCTTGAGGGGTGCTGGGTCCTGCACTGATGGTCAATGTACTTCTGTGTTAGAACTCCAGCATCATGCCTCTGCTCTTCAACTTTTGGGCTACTACGGTTTATTCAATTCATAGTAGCCCGCGCCTGTTACATTTTATAATAGCTACATCTGATGAGCCTTATTAAAGCACGCACAAAGACTTCATTCACAATTAAAAAAATGTTTATTAAGAATGATTCAGGCTTAGTAACTACGCCATTAATAAATAAACCCTAACTGCTAAGCCTTTGATTTGATGAAAGTGTAGTGTTACCTAAAGTACCATGTCTAATAGTTCTGGTCATGTGATTTGTTTGTATATTTGACTCAGTGTTCCTGTCCATGTGTTGTGTTACAGGAGAGGAAGCTGAGTGCATTCCCATACATAGAGATCTGCAATTCAGATTCCATCCAGTATATGGTGCCACTGTCCCGACAAACTGACTTCTTCGTCCCAGAGGTGAAGGAGGAACCCAGGATGGATGTGAAAGAAGAAGATTCGGATGAAGACAGAGGGACTGATATCACAGGTAACACGAGTTATACAGTACATCACTACCTTCTAAGGTCTTAAATTTCATTTTCCTAAATTAAGGCCTTCAAAAGTCTTAAATTATGTGGTCCATGTCTTATTTTTTTCACAAAATGTTTTATTTTTATTAGCCTATTTTTAGCAATGTTAAATGGAGGGAGGGAAAAAAACAACAATGTGAAATCATGTAATGTGAATGAACATCTAATTTGTAGTTTGCACAAACAAAACTATGGTTTGTGGCACCGGTGGCGATGAGTAAACGATCAGTAGAGCGGAGGAAGAGGTTGGATGAGTCATGGGGAAGTGTACGTTTAATTCACAGTGGCTCTTAGATTCTAGATATAGTGTTTGGTTGGTCATTACTAGAATTGGATCTGGTGTTTTTCGCCCGCATAATGGATGCTATGTAAGTCTTATTTTTCATTTAAGTGGTCTTAAAAAGGTCTTTAAAAAGTCTTAAATTTGGGGTAGTCAAACCTGGAGATACACTGAGAAAGTACAAAAATATATGGCCTTCAGGTAAACAAAGACAGTGGAGTGTCAGGCATTAACATGGCTCTTAGGGCAGTTAATCTAGTTCAGACGAGTAAAAATTTTTGTTTCTTTGTTCAGTACCTTCAGGCATTTGAAACATCTCGATTTGTCCTCTGAAACACTTTTTTAGCATGGACGACTCCTGGAGGAATGAGGGATTACAACAACTTGAAAAAATATTTCCAAATAAATTGTAATTGTGTTTCCAGGTCAAGTTACTGGTCAGATCTGCGGATACAACTTTGCACACAAATGACAAGGCATTTTTGTAAATAAATAAATGCAGGGAGCATAAAACACAAGTAATCAAATGAATTCAAGATAGAAGTTTCATGCCATAATGTAAAATGGAACATTCCTGGCCAAGTCCCAACCTAAAAGCTTAGTACTTGAGGACATATTGGCGCCATTGAAATAATTGAATTAATTTTAAAAAGCATCAAAGTGATTTTACCTCAGATGCCCTTCCTGACTCAGCTCTCTCCGTATCCAGGCTAAGCCTCTAAAGTACACTTGCTTTTTATCACTTGACACACAATAGCCAAAATGAGACTTATGTTGTTTCCACACATTTGAAAAGGGCCCGTAGACCGCGGTGTATCTCTCACCCAACTGATAACAACAGAGAGCGAACACTTTTACACAGATTTATTGCTGGCTTTTGATTGCGGTGTAATTTGTTTTTGTTGCCGTGGTGATATACAGGTCCCTGGAATTGTTGTGTCAGTGTGAGTATGTGTCTTTATGTGGAACGTCGTCTTGGAGGCCCATTATTTTCCCAAACTTCCTCAAGCTGTTTGCTGTGATGTGCTGTTGTATTGACAAAACCATTAAATCACTACACAAGGAAATGGTGCACAGCTGATAAGGCAGTACTGAGGAGGTGGGGCCATTTAGGACAATTACTTTCTATTTGGAGTTATTTGTTTTTATTTAGGCTACGTTCAGACTACAGCCTGAAGTGACACAAATCCGATTTTTTGGCCACTATATGACCTGTATCTGATCTATTAATGACAGTCTGAACGACACAGATCCGATTTTTTCAAATGCGATCCAGGTCACTTCGATATGTGGTCCTGAAACCGATACATATCCGATCTTTTGACATGCGACTTCAGTCTGAATGGCCAAAGCGTATTCGTCCGACCTACACATTATCAACAAGGCACAAACTTCACTATTCTGCGCTGAAGTAGGCGAAAATTGTTAATGAACTCCGTGTCACTGAAGTGAAGCACATCTCCACTCACCACTCTTGGCTACATCTCCGCATCCACACGTTCCTTTCAATGGACGTTGCTGCCGCTGCCCCACAAAACGACACGGCCAAAAACCTCGTCCTTCTCAATCTCCTCCTTAAAACAAATAAGTTGTACATGTTCTGGCTCCGGTAAGAGAGGAACTAAAATCGCCAGGTGCTCAATGCTTGCATCCATGTTTGGACAACTTCCGTAAACACAGAGCACGCTCGCTGCGGTTGACGTCATCGTGTCCTCCAGTGCACATGCGGGACACTTTTGGGCTGTTTAATGTTCACACTGGAGATCACATACAAGTGGCATTTAATTGGAAATGTGAACGACCTCGCAAAAACATCGGATTTCACCAAAAAAATCTGAATTGAGCGTTAAGCCCTGCAGTCTGAACGTAGCCTTAGATCACCATTGGCTACCATAGACTGTATATATAAATGAACATAGCTAACCACTAACCGCCATGTTCCATATAGCAAGTGAACATGGGCAATTACCTTTACACTGAAAAATTGTCTCCTCTCTCTGCAACTATTGCGTTGAGCCTCGTCATTTTGGTCTTAAAATGTTCGTATTCACCTGTTCTGCACGATCCTGGTGTTTTTATTTCACTATTTTGTCCATAAATAAATTCCTATTCCTAAAATGGAACTCATCCCCAAATGCACCCCCCAAGCTTCATTTGCCTGGAGCCGAACGTTACGGGTGATGTCACACTCCCTTAGTCCACTTCTTTATAAAATCCATGGTAGCTACTGGAGTAACAGTCACTATTTAACCTACGGCCTTCTAGATTACATATTGAACCAGGCTATAAGTGCATGACACCTTTACTGTATGTTCAACATTCACATTGACACATGACTAATAAAACAGAACTAAAACCCGATCAATACATCACACACAATAAAAAAAGAGGTCAAAAACAGCCTTTGGCACTTCTTTGAATGTCAGGAATACTATAGTTTGTACTAGAGTTTTCAAAAATATGAAAAACCTGACACTCATCGACAGTGTTGGGAGTAACGCATTATAAAAGTAACAAATTACTGTAATGCATTGCTTTTTGCTGTAACGCAGTAATGGAAAAAAAATTAATAAAATTCATACAAATTCGCTAAAATCACTGCAATATCAGCAGCGATGAAATGCCATCTTTACGGTTCCGAATGTTTGGACGGGCCCACATAGACCGTGTGGTAACCACAGGCGAAAGGACGGACGCAGAGCTCCACACTTCACAGGGCTAATGGCAGCTGACACCCAATCACACCTTGCGGGCACCCTGCTCAACGGACTCGGGATTCTCTCAGCGGCAGCCCTAAATTCCAAGTCCTAGTCCAAGATTAGTCCTGGTTTAGTCCTGGTTTAGACCTGGTTTAGTCCTGATTAGTCCTGGTTTAGACCTGGTTCAGTCCTGGTTCAGTCCTGGTTCAGTCCTGGTTCAGTCCTCCTGGTTCAGTCCTCAGTTCAATCCTGGTTTAGACCTGGTTTAGACCTGGTTTAGACCTGGTTCAGTCCTGGTTCAGTCCTGGTTCAGTCCTGGTTCAGTCCTCCTGGTTCAGTCCTCAGTTTAATCCTGGTTTAGACCTGGTTTAGACCTGGTTTAGTCCTGGTTCATCTCTGGTTCAGTTCTGGTTCAGTCCTAGTTTAGACCTGGTTTAGTTCCTGTTCAGTCCTGGTTCAGTCCTCAGTTCAATCCTGGTTTAGACCTGGTTTAGACCTGGTTCAGTCCTGGTTCAGTCCTCCTGATTCAGTCCTCAGTTTAATCCTGGTTTAGACCTGGTTTAGACCTGGTTTAGTCCTGGTTCAGTTCTGGTTCAGTTCTGGTTTAGTCCTGGTTCAGACCTAGTTTAGTCCTGGTTTAGTCCATATACGGTGCAAAAGTTGGGCATCTTGGCACAGTTCTTTTGGTGAGAGTAACTTAAAGTGCTGCAATAGTCGTGTAATGTCTTACATTTTAAATACAGTAATATTGTAATGTAACAAATTACTTTGAAATTACAGTAACAAGTCATAAATAATGCATTACAGTTCTAAAGTAACTTGCCCAACAGCGCTCATCAATACTAAAACTAGTATTGAAACTAGATATCCATTTGATAAGATAAAGAGCAGATAAGTGAAAGACCTATTATTTAATGCTGAAAATCTATTCTATTGTCTAAAGAAAAAATATTTTTAAATTATCATTGTCGTATCGGAATCGGTATTGATTATCGAGCCTATTCCATATAGTATGGAAATCGCGTTTGGAGCATTATTGTAGATCAGAGCCTCAGTCGCTCCATGTCACTCACAAACACCGGCCCAAACTGGTTCTGTATCCTCCCGCTGAAAATCACACTGAATATTTGACAGTCTGCGCTTGTCTTTTAAAATTACATTCTCTTCATTAAACATGCACTGTTCAAATACACTGATGCCACATGCCTTTGCTTAACACTAGAAATACATCATAGGAAGACATTATAAAAATATGGTTGGATATTTAAAGGTGCACTGTGTCACTTTTCTTGGATACGTGGTGTTTTATTGCTCAAAAATACATTGGAAAGACGTGGATTCCTACTGCGTGTGAGTTCACCTCTCCACAGATCTGACCTGTAACTTGGCCTGGTGGCATGACTGGCTTGTCTCCATGGAAGAAGACTAGTTTAATGCCACACTGTGAGACATTCTATAACATTTCCATCAACACAACCATCAGAAAGTTGCCATTGTAGCTCACACACCATATTGAATGTTGACTCTAGGCAAGTTGGGTAAAGTGCGTTGCCCAAGGACACATAAAGCTGAACAATTTGGGGATAATTGTCTAATTGTAATATAATTGTGATTTTTTTTTCTGACCAGCATTGCAATTTTGATTAGATTTGCGATCTGTTTTAATATTGGGATCATGTTCATGTTTACATTTTCAACTCGTCCAGAAGAATTGACAAAAAACTTCACTTTTCAGAAGATGTTTGTTTAGATTGAAACTACAGGGTTAGCAGTTTTAATGCAGAATAAAACAGAATATTTTGTTGCTTGTGGTGGAAATTATGCAGCCCAACTGTATTCCTAGTGGTCTCCCAACCCATTACTAACCAGCTTAGCTTCCAAGATCAACAAGACCAGGTATTCTCAAGGTGGTGTGGCTGTGGTTGCTCAGGGTCATGTAGTATAATTATATAAATGTTGAACAAATTAATTATGGTAC